ATATCTACAAGATAAGAATTTTGTGCTCTGCGGTTACCGCCAAAATCACAGCTGTGTGGTTAGCATATTTCAGGCAGATGCTAGGTGAGGCGACCTGACAGTCAGCATTATAGATGGAAAAGAGTTTAAGGAAAACAACCGATCGGTGAGGAACAACAAGCATTTCGTCAAAGGAACCTCGATCGGTTCTGAGGTAGTCGAACGAACTGCACTCTGTACACAAGGCGACAGGCAAGGCACTTTACAACATACCGATCACAGTCGGGCTGCTTCAAGATACTCAGTAGCCGGTCACATGGCACCATAGTGAAAGCCGGGGCGAAGTCGTGCAAAGCACCTTGCATCGTTCGACTTTCTTTGTTTACAGCGCTTCCAATGAGTTTGTTTTGCTTGTAGCCCCATGTGAAGCCGAAATGAAATGGATCCAGTCTGTCTGTTTTGCCTCTGTGCCAAGATGTACTGTAACAAAGTTTTCCCGAAGCACGTAGCCGCACTGAAAATTATAGCTATGGCCATTCTGTCGGAAGACCTTCGTTGTAGAAGACTTCTTTTCCCAAATATGGCCAGTGTACTTTTTGTTGCATAATTTTTATGAGCATGTTCCAGCTCGATCTGAAACGTTGATTATTTCAATAAGCTTTATATGCGGAGTAGACTCTGTGAAGATCACTATGACGATTACTGATATTGAATCAATACGAATGTAAATAGAAACATCGAACAGTAACACATGTTTCTCCCAGAGAAAGATTTCCTCGAATCTGACCACTGATTTTCAATAAATATTAGCATTTTATGGGTATTGCTTTTGTTTCAGCACGATTTTCATATGTCCGCAGTCTATCATGCAGCGGATAAGTTCAGTGGTTCGATTTTCAGGGCAGAAAAATGGCACGTCTTTTTTTAGACGAGCCGTTTGATTCGCGGCGGCCTACCCTTAGGTGGTTTTTACTATGTCTCTGCCGCACAAGTGAGATTTTATGGGAATTTGTCCGATGATATTCTCATCAGATATACAAACTATCTTCTCAGTAACTTTGCTTTTGCCAGAGCTTCGTTGACCATTAGTTGTTGCAACATCATTTATGGAGTAGAGACGTAGCGTTGCTGTTATTTTCTACGCTTTTCCATTCAGATGTAAACAAGATGATAAATTTCAGTGACTTTCACGCGCTACTAAAATC